TCATTTGAATAAACCGCGAGATGTCGCGTCCGACAGGGAATCCGGACCCGCGCGCTTCGTCGCCGAAACTTCCAACCACAAGAGTTCCTCCCCTTTCTGGTCGGAGGGGGGGAGTTATCGCTAACTTAACATCCTCCACTATCCTCCATCACGCTAATCGTCGCTCCATCTCACCTCCCCCTCCTCCCTCCTCTGTTCGCGCAGCAGACATATACGTAGATCCACGAAGGAGCGATCGTTCGATGACAGACGGGAGATATCCTCTCCGCCGAGTCGAGGGACTTCTCGCCCGCTCGTTACCGGCGAGGGTGCGAAAATGTGCCCGGAATCCGCGGAGCGAGGTGGAAGACGGCGCGACGGGGGAGGACGGAGGGGGCGAGGAGGGGAGAACGACATTTACTACCACCCGCTCCGCCGCGAGTATCACTGCGGGGTGGGTTGACTCCGTGTGTCGGTGCCACGAGGATTCCGTTGGGCTCGGAAGTGGAGGAGGCGGCTGCGGTAAGGGGAGAGGAGAGAGCGAGAGAGAGAGAGAGCGCGCGCGCGCACGGCCGCTGGGGGTGTTAAGCGGCTTACAGTCTGTTACCATGGTAACGCCACACCACTAAGACAGGAAGAGAGCCTGAATCCGGCCCGTTACGGTCCCCGCCGGCTCTCTCGGTGCACCCCATCAACGGCGCTCTCTCGTGTCCCCGTGAAAGAGCAAAGGGGACGGAGGAGGGGACGGCAGAGGGGACGCAGGAGAAGGTGAAAGACGAGGTGGTAGGCGCGTGGTCGGGGATGGTGGCGACCGGATTACGCCACTAACTCTGTTTTTACACCGAAGTGTTTTTCACCGAGAGCTTCCGATGTACAGAGAGAGCGTGGCGTAAATCGCACCTGCTCCTTCTCTCTCCCTCTCCCGTCCCTGTCACGCGCGCGCGCGCGTCTCGAGTTAAACCTTTGAAGTCGTGGAGGACCTTTTCTTAGCGGAAAGCTGACCCGGTCGCCGTTCTCCTTAACACTTCTTACTCCGCCCGACGTGAGATATCTGAACGATTGATCGCGAAATAAAGAGAGAGAGAGAGCGAATAAGCTGCGATATAAATGAAAATAGTTTAACAATTATTTTTCAAAATGCACATTTACACGATTTAGCGCGAAATGCTTCGTGGCTCGAGAAAACTCGATGTGATCAGATAATTGAGTATTCATTCTTCCTGCATTGTCGACGTTTAAAGTTTCGGAATTGAAAAGAATGAAAGACGAAGGACAAAGATTTCTGCGAATTTGCGCGCCAAGCTCGCGCGGAAACTCGCGGAATAAGTTCGCACTAAGGTTCGCGTACAGACGGCACATAGTCGGCAAAGAGAGTATCGCTTCATCTCGCGTGTCGCCTGCAAACACCTCGCCGGCGCGATGAAGTTATTGCGATTCGCGTTTACCGGACCATTATACGCCGTGTCCCGGATTATAAAGGGGTGGCTGGGCGTAGCCGGAGCTCGTGCGATAAGGCTCGGCGAGAGCTCGAACACGGCGGGGCGTTCGTCAGGAAGTTGGCGAAGTACTTAAGAGCACGAAGTCTTTAGACCGCGCGTACGAGTGATAGTATTAACGAGCCGACGACGAGGTCGCGATGTCGCGCTAAGTGATATTAACTTGAAAACAGATGATAAGACACAAGTTATTTGATGT